CACCATACGTTATTTTCTTAAATGACTATAGTCCACTTTCAAATCAATAAAAAGTACTTGTTTTACAACATTTTCTTTTTATGAGTTGTTTAAATAGATTTGTTGAGCAGCAAGTTTCATAAATTTGTGTTCAGTAAACAATACAAACATTACACTCCTTATTGCATTCAGTGAAAATTAACCACAAAAAAGCTCTTGGTTGTTGAAGACTTATGTCATATCAAAGTAATACCAATTGGACAAAATCTGGTTTATTAAAAACATGTTTGCAAATAGAAGTAGTTTCAAATTTACTTTAGAAACCAACTTCACGTTTAGATTTGTAAGGTAGTTAAAGCACATATTGTGATATGTGATTGAGAGTGAATTTGCATATCACTTCAAGATCTCATTTACAAGGAATTTCGAAAGACTCATATCAGATTTATATGCTATTTATAGAGAGATGGCGTCTTTTAAGATTGTACTAACTTTTTAAAAGAGCATAATAACAGAACATTAAAATATCGAATAAAATTCAAAATTACATGGTAAGATAAATTGCGAATTTCTATTACAAATAGAGAATTCATATAATGGGAAAATATATCCTATATCTTTTTTTGCATCTGACACGAAGTTTGAAGAATTGCAGATGTATTACTTGTGTTTAACGTTTACGCTTGCAAATACACAAATTAGATACAGTAAAATAGTTCAGTTGAATCACATGCAGATATAATCAAAGCACAAAATTTTTGAACAATTTTTACAGTCACATCTGTGTTCATATGGTTCAGTTTTTTGCTTCCTTGAGTTAAACATTTTACAAGGAAATTGCAGTTGATTCAGACGAACAACAAATTCAATTAACAAATTCAAAATAGTTAAAAACTTGCAATGATTGCTACAATGGATACTCTTACAATGATTTGGTATAGTTTTATGGTTTGTCGAGTAACTATATTTAAAAATTGTAGTTTTACTTGATGAGGAATTGTACTATTCGGTACAATTTAAAGTCCATCAAAAGTTGTACATTTTAATCACATATAGAAAAATACATTCACTTTATCTCTTATAACTTATTACATATTATTATAACTCTTATAACTTATTATTACACTGATTTTTGCAGTAATTCAGTTTTGTTGGTATTTCTCAGCTAACTGGCTGGAAGCAAAAAATCGCCATAAAATGTAGACATCCATCATTTTTTGTGTTTATCCATTTTTTAAAAAGATGAAAATTAAATAAAATTGAAGCAAAATTAAATAAAATAATAAAATTTCTTTGAGCGAGGCTAACAAAAAAGTATCTTTTAATGTTGTGGTGGGTTAAACATTGCTATAATGAATTGTAGTAACACAGGATAGTTAATTTTATCATTCCAAACATAAACAATCAATTTCAAAATTGTATTAAATAATTGAGACAACAGTTTATTTAAGTAACTTAGGAAGTTTTAACTCCCGTTCATGTTTCCTTCTACAAAAATTCACATACAAGCATTATCACATTTAGAATTATGTTAATGCAAATAAGCATTAACCTGACATCCAAAACTACTTCAAAACAGTTTTATAAAATATTTCATGCCTTACGTGAATATACTATATATTTTCCAAATCATTTATAACACAACACTCTAATTTTATGTTTTGAAATCATTAAGTTTGGTTCAAGATTGAGTAAATTAAATTACAAAATTTTAAAGAAATTAAAACAAAACACCTATTAATTTGAAAATTACTTTTAACAACTTAAGTTAACAACTTTTTTATTTGTTTGAAAAGTAGGAGAAATAAAATAATAAAAAATAGAAAAAAAGGCAAACAGTTTTTATAATAGTTTTAACAAAAGCAAAAAAATTTTGAAAAAGTTTACTCGCAAATAAGTATCATCGGCCATTATATTTATTTAACTCAATCTTCACTGAATAAAATACATCAGTAAGATTTTATAAAAACTATAAACCGTTTTAACATTTTAACAGTTTTATCATTTCTAAATACCGTCTCAAAAGGTTTAAATACTCTTTTTGAAACACTTCGAAATACCACAGAGAAAGTCCTCTACATTTTTTCAGTGTAGCATTCATTAAAAATACATCAGAATAATTTGAATTTATTTACGCATAAAAAATCATATTTTACTACCAAATTTTTATAATAATTTTATGTCTGGTGATTTATGAATATAGATCATAAGAGACTTTGCTCAAAAATTTCTAAACATAATTTCACTTGCTTTAATGTATCATTAATCACATGATACTATTATTCTTTAACATCATATTACTGTGAAACCTCCAGGAAACCACCTGTGTAGCTACCTCCTTTATTTACTTTTAGGAGAGACCATCAAAACCTTTTTCAAGTGGCTGGGCAAACCTTTGCTACGAATGCGAAACGCGATAAAATATCAAAAAAATTATTATCAAAATTAATAAATAGTTTTAAATGTATTCAAAAATTTTTTGATTGGTTCTTATTTAGAAAGCTCTTTTTGACTGAAAGAATTTGAGAGCCTCGCGTTATGATCAGAGAGTGCACTAAAGACGGTGCTGTCAATGATTTAGTTTTGGAGTTAAAAGTTAGATTAGATAAACGATATTTCAGAAAAAAATTAAGTATTTTAAATTAACAAGTCTCTCATTGTTTTAAAGTAAAATAATTTTTATGATGTAAAATTAAGCGTAAATTTAAACAAAAAACGTAATTGTTTATGTAAAATAATTCTATCCTTCATAATTGGTAAATTTATTGTTACACATAATTATATAAGTATGACGTCATCTTTACTGACACTAAATTTTATTCATCGCCCGGTTTTTATGACTCCAGCATAAGTGACATTTCTTCACCAAGAAAATAACTTTGAGTAAAATTAAAACCGCTTGCAAAAAATCATATGAACGTTTAGTACTTAGGGGATACTTCAACATTTTGAAGTCAGTGGAAGTAACCCCTAAGAAAGATCAACTTTCATTAATGATCCTTTTACTGTGTAACAAAGAGTGGTCGTTCCCGAGAGAATTCACTGCATTTGTCAGCCAATAACATTTTTACATCAAAATATGCATAACAAACATAAACAACAAAGCTTATATTCAAAACAATTCTTAATTATTTAACTTACTGTTAACAAAATTTGTAAATTTTACCTATCTATCATGTTCAACAATTGCTTTAAATAGTCGAAATGCAACAAAATAATTTGATTTATACATAAAAATACTCTAACACAATAACTTCAAAAGATTTAAAAAATAAATATGTAAATCATGAACTCGAAACATTACCCATAAAATGTTCATAATGACTTTAAATTATAAGAAAATATGATTAAAAAAAATTATAAATTAATTAAAAAATTAATTAAAAATCGCAATTATTTCTGCTGAGTAAAATATCAACATATCTTTTTTTTTAAATATACAATCAATATTGTGTAAAATATCCAATTTATTTTAAAATACAATTTTTTTTTTATTTTATGAAAATTTTAATTGTTTTACAACTTACAATTTTATGGAATTCATTACAAAAAAATAATTTGAAATTTAACAAAATGACTCGATTTATCCATAAAAATATTATAACACAATAACTTCAAAAAATGCAAAAAATGTAAATCACAAATTTGAAACATTACCCATAACGGAAGAATGTTCGTAATGAAAATTGAAAATTACAAGAATATATAATAAAACACAATTAAATGTTAATTAGAAGATTAATTAAAAATTACAATAATTTCTGTTAAAAAATACCAACCTCTAAGAGATAAATTTCCAATTAATTTACAATACAAATATTATATTTTTATTTTATTAAAATTAAAATTTTTTTTACAACTTAAAATTTCATGGAAGTCATATGATAGAAACTCATTAATTTAGCTAGATAATCGGTATAATCATTATGAAGCATTGCAAAAAAAAAGGAAATGCACAAAACTAGAATTGCATCTCAGCGAAAGTAAAAAAATAAATCAAATTCTAAGTATTATATGAAGAAAGTGAATTAAAAACAGAATATCTAAGTATCCTAACCATAAATTTGTATTTATGCCAACAGTAGTATGAAAATACTCTTTATTTTTTATTAAAATTCAAATTTACATTGTACAAAATATCTACTTGAACTTGAAAAAAATGTTTAATTTAAGTTCATTAATGTTTATAAATGTTTAATGAAAAATAATGTTTATAAAAGAAAAAAATCATTGCTTTGTAATATAAAATATATAACACTATTTTCTTTTACAAGTATATGTTAAAAATGTTTAACTGTAAAATTTAGTGTAATACACAAGTTTTCAATATAATAAAGTTACAATGTTTCTATTTTTTTATTATTTTTACAATCATGTAATAATTTTATCTAATAATATAATTTCGTCAAAATTTTATTCAATTAGATCTTAATAGTACAGAAATTCTAAGTTTTACTAAGAAAAAATTGCGATTGGTGCTTTTTGCTACTTTTTTTCCAGTTTTCGCATAAAATAAATAAGTAAATGAAGTAGATACCATTAACTTATGTGCATTAAGATTTTATGAAAAAAATAAGTTACTTTGTCTGCATTAGTTATTGCAAATTAACATAAAAGGAATCGGGATTGATAGCATAAAAATCACCTTAAAAAGAGGTTTCTTAAAATTGAACAAAAATATGTCAAAATAGCTCCGAAAGAAATATAGCCGAATTTGAAAGCAAAAAAGCGTCAAAATAGCTGTGAAACAAATATAGCCGAATTTGAAAGCAAAACGGCGTCAAAATAGTTCCGAAACAAATATAGCCGAATTTGAAAGCAAAATTTTGTCAAATTAGATCCGAAACAAGTGTAGCTGGATTAAAAAAAAAACCTTGTACTCATAATTCAGTATAATGACATACTAAAAATTGTTGGAACTCTTCTAAAATCCGTTGTAAATAAACATTGTGGCAAGTTAAGAAAGTGTAGTTCACCGATTAAAAACGCTTCTCTATTTGTGAAATAAATTTAGAATAACGGTAATTGTAGTAACCTTTAATCAAATATAATTTTCCTTTTTCTACATTTGATCATTATAAACAAGTAAAATGAGTCACATTTAATGATGCTGTGTCAGGATACGCCTATATTTGAAACTATGTTTCTTGCGCAAAATAAGTGTATACTCTGTTTTTATTTTAAGCATGTCACTTATTCAGTAATGTGTACATGGGTTTTTGAATTCAACTCTTGTTTCGGAGCTATTTTACGGAGCATTTTTGCTCAAATTTGAGAAATCTTCTTTTACAGTGATCACTTCAATAGTAGAAAAAAAAAATGAATAACTTTTTTAGAATAGTCTCTCAAGCATATAATCAAACCCTAAAATTAGGTTTGATGTTATTTTTTTAGCGTTACTCTAAATTATCCCATTAATGTTCCCTTAGATTTTATTTGTTTTACATAAATATAATTTCTACTTTGCTTTTTTTTTCCTCATTTTTATAACAAAACATAAATAAAAATCTCAAAAATTTACTAAATACCATTGACGTTATTGAATCAATAATAACTTCAACACACACTGAAGAAAAAATTACCGTAACCAAAATTCTCAATATGCATTAAATAGTTTACCAAAGCATTTTACCCGATTACAGTGCAGCTGAATTTTATTTCATAGAACGTGCAACTAAAGTTAAATTAGAAGTCAGGGTTTGATAATTTTCCTCGAAAGAGTGAAAAATTTTGACAAAACTTTTCGATACCTTGGAACCCAACTTCACTATGTGTGTTTACATATGAACATAGAGTGTTTAACAGCTTTTCCTCACTACCACTCGATATTGCTTTATAAACCTTAGAATACACATCAAAAAGATCTAAATTTTCTTGAATTTTGAGATCCGTTTTTAAAAATTTTTCAAAGTAATCTGTTAATGTTAAAGCAACAGCTTTTGCTTCAAGTGGTGGTACTTTTTCAGATATACTGTTTATAAATTTTTTATTAGTTATCTTTCGTACAACTAGATCTAACAAAAGAAGTGTACTGGGTAAATCTACATTGTTTTCAAAATCATTGTTTTTAATTTTAGTGTTTCCACTAGATGTTATCTTATTGGGTGTTAGATCATTTATTGATTCATTAAGAATGATCAACTGATCTGGAGCATTGCGTTTAAACTTGGGCATACATTTTCCTTTTTCTCGCCTCAACCACATTAGAACGTTCTTTTTCTTTTTATCTGCAACGTCACATGTGTCAGAATCACCATCGACTTTAGCCAGCATTTCAGCCCCCTGGGTAACTAGGTATTCAAATACTTCAAGAAAATCTTTTTCAGCTGCAATATGGACGGCAGTATAGTGTTGATGATTTCTTATTTCTTTATTTACCTTTTTATCTTCAACGAGATGTTTAACAAAGTCAAGATCGTTATTCATTACAGCATATGCAAGTGGGGAATTACCAATAGCGTCGTTAGCGTCAGGATTAACTCCATTTTGGAATAAGTATTCCACGAGAAGTCTGTCTCTGCGTTCCATAGCCATCTGGATTGGCGTGACCTTTTGAGAACTGACTCCACACTCAACGTTTACGTTGCCACCGTTTTCTACCAAAAATTTAACGATTTCGAATTTGTATTCATCGTTGCGACTAATTTTAAGGGAAATACATAACGCAGTGTATTCATCATCAGGAAACTTCTGATTGACGTCTGCTTTCTTCACTTTAACGAAATATTTCATAATATCTAGATTATGTTTTGATGATGCCCAATACAAGGGGTTAAACCACGAGACATCAAGATCCTTCTGATCCAGATATATTACGAGAGGAAGATGTTGGTTGACAACCGCAGAGCGTATATTATATTCTCTAAGCGTATGCTTATTATCGGAATCCATTTCATCTAAATTTATTAACTTCTTTGAAACAACAAATTTAACTATTTCTAACTGTCCGTTCTCAACGGCATCGATCAAAAAAAATTTGTCGATATCCTTACTTTTTTCAACTGTTCCCTCATAAACTAGAAATCTAATAGCGTCAATGTTCCCCTCTTTAATGAAAACATACAATCGCGATTTTTGTTGAATATCTTGAAAACTCCTCTCCGCGCCTTTAGATATCAAAAAGTCATACATTTCCCTGCCGTGAATATGAATATTTTTCAAAGAAAAATAAATAGGTGTCTTTAATGCCTTGTTCTTTCTTTGAATAAAATCGGCATTATATTCCATTAAGTATTTAACTATGTCTAAATTCCCACCGCTGATTGCTTCGTGAAAAGATAAATTCCCTTCATCATCTTCCGCATCTTTGTTTGCCCCATTTAGGCACAACGCCATAAAATTATTGAGATTGCCATGACGAGCTGATAGATGCAAAGGTGTCGAACCGTTAACGGATTTCTCTTCTAGAAGAGTGTTACCATTGTTTAAAAATAATAGATTCGTAATGTCTGTTTCTTTTCGTACAACTGAAAGATGCAAGGGAGTATAACCTTCAACAGTTTTATCGCTTATTTTAGCTTTCTTATTCAGTAACATTTCCACTATGTCCTTCCGGCCGTTTGCTATAGCCAAGTGCAAAGCTGTGTACATATCAGGACTTGCAATGTCTACCTGAATTTTAGATTCTGCCAATAATTTTTCGACGATTTCTTTTTTCGTAAAATATACAGCATACATTAAAGGGGTATACTTTTTGTCTTCGCACACACAATTTATATCAATTTTCTGTTTTTTGTTTATTAAAAGCTCGACAATGCTTAGGTATCCTTTCATTGCAGCATAGTGAAGGGGCGTGACTTTATTTTTATCACCTTCATTAATATTGATGTTAGTTTGTTTTATTAATAATTCGACGTTTTCTGTTAAATTTTGGAGGGTTGCGAAATGTAACGCCGTCAAGCCTATGTCATTCTGCGCATTTATGTTAATATCAGGCATTCTCAACAGCTTTTTAGTAACATCAGAGTTATAAATGCCGTTTGAGACGGATACATGCAACGGAGTCAGTCCGGATTCGTCAGCCACATTCACATCAATATCGCGACTTTCTAACAAGCTGCTAACTGTTCTCTGAAATTGTCGACGACAGGCTATATGTAAAGGAGTCAGATGAAGTTTGTTTTTGGCATTTACATCAGCGCCTTTGGAAAGTAAAAGCTTTACCAAATTTGACTTATTATTCTCTGCAGCTAGATGCAACGGTGTATTCCCATCAATATCTTTAACTTCAATTTGATTTGGATCTTTTGCTAAAATTCGATTTAACACGCATTCATTTCCTGCGGCTGCAGCTGCGTGAATAGGTGTTTTTTGAAGCTCAAATTGAGCAGATATGCTTGAACCTTGTCCTAATAAATCGTCCATTATTTTAGAAAGTGTTTGACAGCTGTTGATAATATCACCAGCTAAGTTATAAAAATCCCTATTTAAATCCCTAAATTTAGGCTGCGAACCTTCTAATACTTGCACTAATTCTGTTTTTTCATCCTGAGAACACTTTGTTATTTTTCTATAAATATACCGATTATAATTGCTTGTATCTATTTCAAGAACCGGGTTTGCTAAATGCTGAATCGGCTGGGGATTCGTCCAATCACTGATGAGGGAAAAAGTTCCGTTGTTCTCATATTGTACTGCGTAACTTACTTTGGCTCCGTTAACCCAATCACCTAGTGGAGTACTGATACGGTTGTCTGCTTTAACGTCTAAAAATGAAACTATAATATTGTTAACGGGATCTTCGTTAATTATCTCAAGCTTCATTTTGCTTATTTTTTCTTTGAGTGAAATCAAACTCTGGGTCCGATTTGATACGTCATCATATAATTGGTTCTTCAGGTACCGAACAAAGGGAATCTTTTCTACTTTTTTTAGAACTGAAATAACTTTATCAACCAGGCTGTTATTATTTTCAGTTAAAATATGTTTGAATTTAAAGAAATAGAATCTTAGGCGGGCAAAATAAAAATTAAATGCTTCTAACTCGCCTTTTTTGTAATAGTAATGTGCAAGATAAGTGTGATGTTCTAATAACGAGAATACGATTGAAAAATAGGTTTGCATGCCGTAGAACAAAGAAAAAATCGCACTAAATGCATTATCGTCCTTAATATCTTGCGGAATGGCATAACCATGCTGAATAATGAAAAATAAAGCTTTAAACAAGTCTCCATCCTCTTTAACCAAGTTATACAGTTCGTTATGACTAAGTTCGTGTTCAATAATATTTGCGTATTCATTTTTATCTGCTTTTTGCCACGCTTTCTTTTTTAAATCTACAAAATCCACAATTAAAGTAATTTGCGAAACAAGTTCTTTAACTTCCTGATTTTTAATGAAGTCCAGAACTTTTTGAAAATGTTCTCTCATTTCTTTCCTAGTCTCTTCGACTGCGATCAAAGTTTTGCTGACTATGTTACTGACATGCAGCAGAATCAGGGTATTTTGGTCTAACTTGCGATTCACTTCGTTAAATCTAGCTTTTAGAATATCTTTTATTTCGTCTGTCGATACATCTGAACAATCCATTGCAACTTCAATTATACTCCCAGCTCCTTTAACTATTGTCGAAGCAAGAGCGACACTGCCCATGACGGAGGTCAGTCCCGGAATCATAGCCAAAGCGCCCGCTATTTTAGTCGTTTCTTCGGCCAGTGAGCCCAAGGACCCTGCTACACCCCCAACTGTTTCAGAAAAGGGTGATAAAAATGATAAATACTTGCATACATCCGCCTTAGTTAATTCCCTCTTAACACGACTCGAACCGAACTCGTCATTGTGATTCGTATTTAAAGAATACATAATTCTAAAGGTTAATATAAATCTATGAATTATAGTATAAATGTATGAATTATTTCTTTAACAAAACGAAATATTAAAGTTAGAAAAGTATTATTTATAGAAAACAAGAAGAAAATGTTCCTTTTAAGAATCTATAACTAATTGAAATATGATTGGATTAAGTTATTATTCACTACACTGACTTTAATGCAAAAACCAGGTAAATTTTCAAAGGATACATAATTCTAAAAGAAAATACAAACCTATCAATTACTTACTTACAAATGAACAAATTTAATATATTTAGAAAAGTATTGCTAACTAGAAAAAAAGCTAACGTTTGCTTTTAAAAATATATATAATTACTGTAATCTAATGGAAAGAATAGCTAGGGTAATTTTTGCATCTATTTGATACATATATATATATATCGAAAGTCTCCATTTATGTTTGTTTAATTTTTCACTTATACGCCATCTGTTACTTTTCATGTAAAGGCTTGTCACTTCTTAATAAAGACAGCACAATAGCCAAATTCCTGAGACTTACTTTGATGTCAAGAAATATCATAGAATGCATTTCGAAGATAACATAATAAAGAATGTTACTGATGAGTTAAAAAAAACTTATTTAAATTTCATAACAAGTCTAGACAATATGTTTTAAGACTTTTGAATTAAAAATTAAGTTCAGAAAATCACTTTTGCCACTACAAAGTGTATATTATATATCATTAAAAATTATTCTATGGATTGGATCGCAATTTCGTTCACATTTTCTCTACCTTAATAACGGTGACATGCAAAAGAAATCTCATGCACTGTTAGAAATTATAGAAAAGTTAGACAACAATATAGCTCATATTTTTGCCAGCAACAATACAACAATGATATCGTTGAAATTTTTTACAACCTTAACCCGGTACCATATTCTGAATCAAAGATTGTGTTATACACCGTTAAAATTTATAGAATGAGTTGAACCACAATACTGTTCAAATTGTCTGCAACCTTAATCAAGTGCCACATTGAATTATATTATCAAGTAAAGATAATTTTATACTCTGTCAGAAATTATAGAATTAGTTGAACAACCATACTGTTCATGTGTTTTGCCACCTTAATCCGTTGCAATAATGAACCATATTATTAAGTAAAGATAATATTATGGACTGTTAGAAATTATGGAATAAAATGAACCACAATAATGTTGAAACAAAGTTTTCTGAAGCCTTTATTCGTAGTCAAATTGAGCCCTATTATCAAAGGAACAGAATATTAAACACAGTTTTAAATTATAAAATAAGTTGAAATCTCATACGTTGAAATTTTCTGAAACCTTTACCTGATTCATTTTTTGCTTGATAATATGGTTTAATATTATCAAGCAAAAAATATATTATACGGGGTTTGAAGTTACGGAATGATTTTAACCGCAATGCCGCTCATATTTTTTGCAAACTTATTTCTGTCAACCATTTTTTGGCGCCACATTCTTCCGTATTGAGCACTTTGAAATTAAATACACGATGCTAAAACTAAATATATCAATCCGCCTTAAAGACGCAGTAACTTCACAAGTATTATGGTTCAGGCTCCAAGCATGCTCTCTTAAAATGAAAGAGTTATTTCCCCTCCTCAAAAAAGAGTTAAATTTTTTAAACTCAACTTCAGAGTGAACTACACTCTTATTTGAGCGAAATTTTTGCTTTGCGTTTACTCAAACTTGAGTGTTATTTATTTAAGCAATATTTGAGTGCTTCTAGAGTGATTTATTTATTATTTAATTGTGTGCGAGCGATAAGCTGGAATTTCTATCGTTTTATTTTAAAAAGCAAACGATAATAAATCTAAATGAATTCCCTGGTGCATAATGCAGGCTTACTTGATTTGATCATGAGGTACCTTTTGATAGATGAAAGTTGGCAGTGTGACAGTGCCAATTTGTCGATAACTCCTCCCTCCACATTGGTGACCTCCGGACGTGATTTGAACACGCAGTAACGCCCACTTCGATCCGGTAACGCGTACTTCGATGGATGGTTCACATTGAACAATTGCAGGGGTGAAATTGAATCGGAAAAGATGAAAGGCTTGTAGTAAAACCTTTTCGGTTATAGATAGTTTTTGAGATGAGTTTACTTTTTCTTTTATTAAACTATTCAACAATATCTACTTTATCATAGAAAAGAAGCAGTTTTTCAAAAACAATGCAGGAATGAAATGTCTTACGTACCAGTTTTTTCTCTTTTCCGTCTTGCTATATAACGGCTTTCAGCCATGAACAATTGAACAGTATGATTAAAATATATTCACTTAAATGATGCATAAAAAATCATTGAAATTCACACAAATTCAAGTTAAAAGGACTCAGTCAAGTAATACATATAATCACTAAAACTCGAGTGAAAATCACTCAAGTTTGAGTGAAAACGATCCACTCAAGTAATACTGAAAATCGCTCAAACACGAGTTAAAATCACTCAAGTAATACTGAAAATTACTCAAACACGAGAGAAAATAATTCAAGTTTGAGTGAAATTTTTAGTGAATTTGAAATTTTCTTAAGTGATTTTAACTCAAGAAGAGAAGGCCGCTTTTTTCTAGATAAAAGAGTTAAATAGCACTCAAGTTGAGTTATTTTCACTCGTTCATTTTAAGTGAGTATGGTTCAACATAGAAACAGATATTTTGAGAATGGTGAATTATCATAAAGAATACTTCAGACATCTATGTTTATTCGTTCAGATATAAGTGAGCGTAAGTCCAACTGGTTAGAGCTTTTCTTGAAAAAAAATATGAAGCAATCGTCAAAATTTGCAAAAGCAGATGTAAGAAAGTTATTAAATTGATTTAAATTACATTTAATTTTTGAAATTTGTACCAGAAGACAATTAATTAATTTGTACTTTTTGGCCAACAGATATTTTAATAAGTTTCGATCATCACAAACTTTTAAACTAATGTTTCCTATTACAAATCTAATGGGACAAAAAATATCCTTCAAGATTTAAAGAAAATCTAATTTTTGATTATCATGGAGAAAGAATTCTGAAAAAAATGGTTTGGTGCTAAATATAAAAATTCAAATTTGGTTATTATTTGGAATTTAATATTATTTACAATTATATTTATGTGTAACAAAACTGTCTAAATGATAAAATATAAAACACGATATATAAGATTTGATTTGATTTTTATTTTTATATATTTTTGAAGGCTTTAAAAGAGCATTGTAAGAAATTCGGACTGTATAAAGTACCGGCACTTAGGGTGCATCATCCGTAAAATAAATTTTCTACAGTGAAATATTATAGTGTAGATTTAACTGTAATGTTTATTTAATAAGAATGAGTGAGTGATTTTAGGATAATTATAACTGTAAGAAGTACGGTAGATCAAATTTGTTGTTTCGTGACATGTTCCGGTATTTTTTATTTTTGTTTACTGTAATTTCATCCTAACTTTTTGACAAAGTAGAAGAGTCCTTAACTGGATAATGTACTTTATACGAGTTCCGTAATACTAATTTTTACTATCCTTGTCAAACATTAAAAAGGAAAACAGTGGTCGAAAATTGATAATCAAGCTAGGAAAAATAAAAACGTAATCAAATTCTTTCAAAACCAGTTTTAATGTTTAATGAAACTTGCAAATGCTTCTTAATTTCGTCTGACAATTTCTCCCTGTCTCGAACAGGTTGGTTGTCGCGTTACATGGAGAATAAATCAATAAGACATTATATAGGACCGAAGAACCTATACACTGTTCCAGATATATCAAGGCAAATATCCGAATAAATATCTAGTGGATAGTCACTAATCTGTAGCAACAAGGCACAAATGGCAGGACATGGGAAAAAAATGTTCAAGTGACAGTTCTTCATAAAGACTAAGAGGATACCAGAGTTGTCCCGGATATCAGAGAAAGAAGCTCCGGCAATCCCTTCTCGTGGAAATGGACACGAATTTAACAGGTTCAGATGAAATATGCCTCACAAGTAATACGCTAAATATCGATAAGGATTTCAATTTTAGAATTCGTATCTGAGTTTTTTTTTTTGACAGATTTAAAAAGTGTAAATTAAAGGATTTCCTCGCGGAACACCTTGATTGTACCCTTTAAGAGACGAATTCATTACCCTTTGAAAATGATAGAACTACTAAATATCAGTGATCTTTCTAAAAATTGCATATATTTTGGATAAATCAATGATTTCCGATCCACCTGACAAAGAGAGAATTGTATAAAAAAAGAGCTTTTAGTAAAACAAAAGTAGATAAACATAGTATTGTATTGTATTCAACATCATGATTAAAATATGTCTGAATGTCACTTAAAATAAAGAAGGCAGATGGGATATTTTGATACGCAGAGAATATGCTCTGTCAGTAGTCGTTGAATTCGATTTTACTGAGACAGTTTTGGTTTTCTTCATTTAATCTTTCAAGCAGATGTGTTTGCTATATCAATTGAAGCCGATTCAATTGTTACTACTTTTGCAGCTTCAAAATGGATTTCTTTTTTGTATCACACACATTTTCATGTCAAGCAAAGAATCTTCAGAGATGAAGAACGACATTTATTAGTGTTGAAATTTTCCTGGGACAAAACATCGTATGTACAAAAACTCACTGAGAAAAAATTGCAACGGAGCAGCAAATCGTATGAACGAAACTAAATTTAAAACAAAAAATTTCAGTTGTAAGAATAAAATGCTTTCAAAATATTGATGATGCAAACAAATGCGCTAATTTTGGTACAAATGTCCTACTATGGAAAAAAGTCATCTACATTTTAAATTAATTTATTATTTCAATTTCGTAGTGAAAAACTTATTCATTTCTTAACAGAGATGCAAGAAATGTATAAACTGAACTTTTTGAATAAGTTTTGAGCTAATGATTTTATTTTCACGAATTAATATTCAGTTTTAATGATTCGTAGGCTTAAACTTAAATATTCTAATTAGTACACATGATAATTTAAGTTACGAAGTCAAACATAGATACGTGTTTTCCCTGAACAAACAAAACTCTTTTTCCGATGGGTTTTGCTTTCTGAACCTCAAACTGTGGGAGGTAGCCCAGTCGGGAAATATGGTTTCAATAACTTAGTGAAGAGAGCAGTCGTGAAGAGAGTGAAGAGAGTTAAAACCCTTTGCATTTTAAATTTTATATATTTTATATACAGGCGTATTTCTCCTTAATTCGAGAATTGTTCAAATCATAGATTCTCAACCTTTTCAGCTGCCCTCTAAGGAGCAGAAAAATTTTAAATACCCCGCTTTGTGAAAATCCAGTTATTTAGAGCATGGTGACGGAAGGGTGTGTGCTGAATTATAAAATGTAACATTTTAAAGCAACATAAAAAAGTACAAACTGTTCAAAATATACATTAAGGAAATTACTATAGTTTGAA